ATGAGATATTGTTTGTAATAAGCTGCATTTTGAATATGTGGGTCACCACCAGCACCAGGTTCTTTCTTTACTTCAACATTAATCCCTATAAAATCGTTTTGGTGATTAGGGTACCAAGTACCATCTGTCCTACATCCACAAAGTTCAACACAGCGGAGACTGATCTTGAAGTGCTGGTTAAAAAGCTGTCGAAATTTTGTTGCTCTCGTATCCTCTACTGCATAATAATCAGACATAGCCTCACTGAGAGACTTTGCAAAAATGAAATCATCAGGAGTAGGTATAGCATTAGAGCACCCATCTAGAAACTCTCCAAAAACAGGGTGCAATAATGCAGTTGGGAGGCCAACTGAAGAAGTTGGTCGATGATTGAGAAAAACTTGATCCGAATTCGATGTTTGGTACCAGATTCTTGCCATATCACTTGGAGAGGGAGTTTGTGCTAGTCTTTTCATGTAGCATTCATAGTCACTTTCCGAATTTTTTCGTTTGCGAGTTTGTGCTGTTTTCACAAAGCGAAAAAAAAAAACAAAAACGGTGTGCAACTTTAATAGAAAGGCATTATCTAGGCGGGTGTGATGTATACGAAGACCGTCCTGTAGCAACGAGCAGGCCACAACCAAAAAAGCAATACACCACACATCCAGACCACCTTACTGTGTCAACTCTACGTCTACTCTACCCTATGTACACATTACTCTATGTCCCCAACGCCCGAGTCACAAAGTCGTTACCTGCTGTGGTGGGCGCGCGCAACGCGTCTGCCCAGGTATACTCCCATAGATCTCGCTTTGCCTCCAGATTCTTTTTCTCGTCTTCAAGTTCTTTCCTCTCGCCTGCATAATTTTCCCCCACTTCGCCTCTCTTCAACCTGTTAAGCCTCTCCGATTTCCCGTTCTTCTCAAACTCCTTCAATGCGGCCTTCGCCGCTTCGAACTGTTCCTTCGCGTCGCTGGCTGCGGTACTCATGTTGGTAAGTCGAAGACAAAAATTTTTTGTATTTGTGCAGTCAAAAGTTTCGTTTTTGACCCCAAATTTAGGTTGCGTTTTTGATATATTGCAGTAAAGTCACGTTTTCACTGACAACCGATGTCAGACGTATAATAATAAACCATAAGATTTGAAATATAAACTGAGTATATTTAATAATAATAATTTATTCATTAATATTAACTAATGTGTGATAATAAAAAATATATATACTGTAATATTTATCGGCAGTCACATGAATTTTTCTCACCAGCTCTGACTCTCATTGGACGACCCGCCAGTGGCGCAAAATTGTGCTTATCTCTACCAAATATGTTGTATCTGCTGAAGGAACAGGTCAAAAGTGTCAGCGAGTTGAGCGATTAGCGCTGCCAGCCTTCCCGAGGCATGGGACGTTGCAATTAAATATGAAGAGTCAACGTCATTTTCCCCGACATTAAGAACTTAGTTATTTATACGTATACTAATATGCCATAAAAGACTTTGGTTTTTTTAATCGTTAATGGAACTCTTTACATTGTAGCGATTCCGCATTAATAATACGATATTTCATAATCTTGCAAATGTAATATATTTCTCGAAATACTCGATAAGTCGGTCTCAGATGGCTGGCTCGGTGAACCGACTTATCGAATTTACGTGACTAATTTAGTAATAGCAAGCGAATGGAAAAACCATTATTCTAAATAAACATCCATGCTTGTTGCCGAATTACGCACTAGTCATTTCTTGAAACACCGCAATACAATGTATCATTGCTGTCTATTAATAGTTTTGATTTGTGTCTTTTATTAGACATGACTAACAAGAAGATAAACCTCTACAATAGTCTTGATTAAACATCAGACAGTGAATCACACAATACATCGTCATCATACATTTTATTCATAACCCCAAAACCACGGGCATTATGATAAATGTATTACGGAGTAATGGCACTCACGTGCCTGATCGAATATTTGTATTACCCCGATAATGGTCCTTTGATTATTCATGTAATCAAAAAAAGTTTTTTTGATAATAAGACGCAGACGCAATAAGCTATCTGGCTAAGTTTGGAAAAATACCCGCATTTTCTTGATTAACGCAGAAGAAGATCATATACCTGCTGGATCAGTTCTATAGAAGATGATCCATGGATAGAAAAAACTGAGCTGAAAGGTGTTATAGAACAGGCGGTATCATTTGCTAATAATCGAAATAGTCGAGGTTTCTCACGCCATACGACACTTCTCGAAATTCTACCCGAAGTAAGTTATCTGACTTTTATTAGTAAATAAATATTAATTTCGAATGATGGATAACATAGACAGTGGTACAGTCTGAGTAAGAAACGCAATGGTTTAAATATCCTATTAGCCCACTCACAGGAGAAATTCCTCGGCAGTGTGGAGGTTATTTAGACCAGATACATGCTTAATTCTATGTGGTTGTTTTAGTATCACATAAAGTCTTATTTGCGTGTTGGAATAGCTAACCACACAAGGATATGGCTTTATTTACATTCTGACGGCGCATGCGTTTTTTGCCGGAGGAAATAATTTTTTTTTATTGTTATTGGAAACTAATTAATAATTGTATGTCTGCGTAGTTCGAAATTTCCTATACAACTGTCCGTAGTTTACGTATCATTGGAGCGGTGAAAACGAATGAAGAAAAGCCTCTTAGCTCCGGTCAAATTGAAAAAAAATAAAATATCAAAGCGCTAAAAGGAAAACTAAAAAAAGACCTATCACAGCTTTACCAGTATCTATTTTCCGGTATAAATAATATATCTATTTCTGCGTTAAGCTGGAAAGATCCTCTAGCTAGCCAAGTGATCAGTGACGATTCATGTTTAGTGCAGAATTTACCTACACACTTAAGGGACTCTTTTATGGTGAGTGCTTCTTCAAAAGTAAATCAATGAGAATCGTATTCTAATTTATCATATTATTAGAAACCAGTACGACAAATGGTGCCTTCGTCCCTTCCACCAATTATACAAGAAAAATGCAATAAATTCGTAGAAAACTTTATTGCGAGAGATACATACAGACAGTTACCACGAAAACTTACGCATAATGGAGCGTGGAAGGAGTCGAACGAGGAGCTTGCAGAGGTTGCGTCGAGAATTTGGGTACTCTGAACGATGCATGGAATAATCCAGCATTTGATTCTGACCGGATATTATGTTCGTAATGAAACGTGTTGAAAAAATTACGAACTTTTATATACCGAATGTTTACGTTTGACTTGTACAGCACAAAAGGAAAAATATGACGAGGTAAAGTTGTGGCGCGAAGCTAATGATGGTATGTATTGGACTTGTAAGAGTTGTAAGCCCGAAAAGGACGCATTCGGCATTATTGGAGTACACGTAGCGGGAAAGAAATTACGTCTAAGTGTCTTATTAGGGATATGAGTGAGGTGCATCGTTATTATTATCTTCACGAATCCGAAATACCGATTCAACAATTAACTCCCTCTGCCATTGCAAAATTATAAAGACCTTACTAATATTACGAAACGTTCTTATCGTTAATATGACCCTACTCCATCATGCGTCCTTATCTAAATCAAGTAGACTTATAGAAGATAGTTCAACAGTGTCATCTCGTCCGCATGACCATTAGTTTTTATTATGTTTATTTTTATGTATTAATAAAACTGATGAATCATAATTGCGTGCGTATTGCATATACAGTCGCACCTGTCTATTTGCATACTGTCGATTTTTATGCAAATATACGTTATCACATGATTTGATATCATAATTTTTTTATTATTATGTCCTCTCGTACAATACTTTATTGCAATCATTTTATATAATGAAAAACACTACATCAAGCAATCAACAGCGCTACCAAATTTGTTTAAAAAGCAAAAATGAATTAATAAAGGTTGTGTATTCCGAGTCTCTGAAACAATGGTCTAGTTTGTTTCTCCGATAATCACTTTCCCGACACTTCACTTCCCGACAGTTCATTTCCCCGACAATCATTTCCAATAAATATTTCGGCACTAAGATAATTTTAGCAGGAATTGTATTGTCGTGGAAGTGATTGTCGGGGAAATAAGGTGTCGGGGAAATGAACGGCTTCCTTATTGCTCCTACGTGACCGGTGGTTTCACAAGGTTGTTAGGAATATATTCCCCATTGTAATGTAATGGAAGAAAGTTGCCAACGCAGTAGATCGATTTAATTTCGTAGGCTTTTATTCCCCCTTGTTTTTTCATGTAATTCCATACCGTAACAAGCAAAATTGATATATTCTGCGTCTTTTCTACTTTTGCAACAAGTTGACGGGTTGACAAATATTATTACTCTGTCCGATAACGTGAGAGACGGTTGAGTAACCTTGGTTTTACGTCCGTTTCCTCGCTTGTGCTCAACAGTACGAAGGGAATGTTTGTTATTTTGTGTATTTCTTTGGCTGAATTGGTACCGTTGAGCCAGTAATGTTTAATTGTTTGTCTTTGGGCTTTGAGCTTTGCGTTAACATCTTGGCTTGTTTTTTATACAGTACATACAGTGTGTTAAGAAAAAACAGCGGTCAGCAAAAGACTCGTTTTTGTAATACATAAAGAAATACGCGTTAATAATTGTACTACAGACACTTTTTGCAGAAGATGGTTAGCGCATTTTCCTAAATCATGACGAATAAACAGTAGATCGGCGTACAAATAATAACTAGTCTTTCATGAAAAAGTAGGCAGTGTGACTGATGTCTGACCAAAAGTATAAGAAATAATAGATACAATATAATGGGCTGAATATATATCTTTTTATTTTTTTGCATTTTAACAACATGATACGGATATATGTTCAGTCAGAAGTAGGCACTTGGATTTTTCAACTTGAACGGTATCTACATAATACGTCGCAAAAGAATCTGCGGGCGGATATGACCATTGTATAACTATAAAATGTTGATTAATTATTGACTCTCATATACACTATTAAAAGCAGTGAAAACAAGCAAATAAAACGTCATTACAAGTAAAATTCAAAATTTGATTCACTATGTGGTAAGTAATTTGGCTACACTCTGACCAACGTATTCGTCAGCACATGGGACCATTCTCAGGCAAATACATGTGTAAAATCTTCTAAATCAACCGTTCTTGAATGGGCAGAAATCTTGTTAATGCGAACAAGGTAATTACACACGTCCGCCACGCCAGGCTGGTGCTTAGTCCTTTAATTTAACAAAGAAAATTAACGGGAGCGCAGCAAAAATACGAGCACATAAGAAATAAGTAAACAACTCCGTACCATGACAGGTTTGTTCTGACATTCCGAGTCCATTGCCCGATGTGATCGCCGTCTCTAAAGGTGAACAACGTACCCAGATTACCGTAATCAACCGCACCGCTTGCGACAAGACTTGCCACGATCGCGGCTGGCGTTTGTCCTCGAACGTTGAAGCCTGCTATATTCCAGTCAAATAGTAGCGCAGGCATTTCTTTTTCCGTCTTTATT